TGGTTTATCTCTGCGGCTGCTGTTTTGGCCACGGCACATCGGAAAAACTTTGAGATTGTCTTACCAAAGGACCAGGGGTTTGAGGAAGGCCAGTACACAGGTGAGTATTCTACTCCGAAATTTCATTAAACGGGTCGTTGTTAATCTTTTATGGCCCTTTTGACTCTGTTTAGATGATAAGAGGAAAGGGCGCTTCGGCTCCGCTTGTCGGAAACAACCCGGGTAGTATGGGATGCACTCTAGCTGAAAGATAGACACTCGAGCTATTTTCCCCAACTGAGAATCGAACTCACGTCCTCTTCATGTCAGGAGAAGGACCTGATCATTTTGTAACAGACGCTGGTGCTTGATTTCAGAAAATGACGGCTTCTTTTTAGAGAGGTTACGTATTCACATAAAGAAATACTTGCAACCGTCTCTGATATTAGGGCTCTAGTGTTGTCTTGTCCTTCAATTTATCGGAGATAAACAATTACCCTAATCTATTCAGGTAGAATAAGGCCGTTATAGTACAACTCGGGGAAAGTTCTGTCAGTTATTGCGAATAATTCAACGACTTCCAGCCTTATGAATTACCTTTTCAGTGTTGAAAGCAGCGTTTTACCCACACCTATACTACACATACCCTTATAGTGAGCACTGGCATCTGTGGAGTATTATGACATCTGTATTTTGACAGTCAAAGGTTTGCCCTGAAATACGAGTTTGTGCGGCCAGCCTCCTAAATCATTTCTTCTTCTTGATGATTCATGTCACATTTCAAAACCAGTTCTTTCATGCTCGTCAGTGCGAGTAGTAAGGATGGCAGGGTTGTTAATCTTGCTTGCCTTTGAAGAGTAACGTACTGAACTGTGCTCTACTTTCTCCTCAGCTGGATGCACCGATAGCTTATTTTGGTATCACACTGAGATATGGGTGACCTTGGTCCGAATCCGTAACGAGCGTTTTGAAACAACATATGTTTTTTTTCTTAAAAGGAGCTTTGATGGCTCGAGATCTCCATCGCGCTAATGGATACGCAAAATAAAAACTATCCAGTGCTGGAAATGCTACAGCATAGGCGTGGCATGGATCTTCTGTTGATGGGGTAGTCTCGGCTGCCTGGCAGGCCTGGAGAAAGCATCCTGGGAGCAAGTACAGAGCAAGTAGCCCTTTTACAGGCGCAAAACACTGACATACTGGCAAGGTCTTTTGCTGTCTATGGTTAGGTACCCATTCGCACCCGGGTGATTGAGAAAAATTCGTGTGAAGTGCTTTTAGCAAAGGACACAATGTCGGGCACAAGGCTCGGACTCCCGAACACGCGACCTCACGATTATGAGTCCTGAAACCTATATAGTGTAGATGCGGGCACAGCACGTGTTTAAAAAATATATCTTTTAATCTTTTTTTATTTTCCAGGCATGTTCCGCTTCAACTTCTGGTGGTACGGCAAGTGGACAGAGGTGATTGTGGACGACTATTTGCCCACTGACGGGCGTCGGCTCATCTACTGCAGCAACAAGGCGAGGCCCAATGAGCTCTGGCCCTGTCTGCTGGAGAAAGCCTATGCAAAGTGAGCTGCTGGTGGAGAGAGAGAGAGAGAGAGAGAGAGAGAGAGAGAGAGAGAGAGAGA